CCTTTTTTTTTTTTTTTTCCCCCCCAGCAAAACTTCACTTCCTGGCCAGAAACACAACATTAAAAAAAAAAAAAAAAGGAAATGATGGAAAATTAAGGACTAGGAATGACTACTTTGAATATAAAATAGAGACTTAAGAAATTGGGAAAAGGAGAAGAAAAAGGTGATGGGAATAGGAGATTTTCATGACAAACCACCAACTGCTAACTAGCTCTATTCATCACAATCCTTTTCAATCTTCTATAAGGCCCCCCCATATATTATAATTTACAGAAAGGCAAGGCATTCTTTGACATAAAACCACAGACGACATGATTGTTGACTTGCTCAAATTGAGCGAGTGATGCGACTTGCTCAAACGGAGACCCTGCCTATCCCCAAGCACTTGAAAGTATATTATCAATTTGCAGCGGAGGAAAGTGTTACCGCAAAAAGGAAACTGAGGCTAGCACGTCTATGCCAAAGAACCTTTTTGATGTGGCTGCTGTAAAAATGAACTAACTAGGCTCTCTTTAAAAACGGTCAACTCGGTTACAGAGCAAAAGCGTCATTTGCAAGGCTGCTTTGGTAAGAAGCTTCTGCGCTGTTCAGGGCAAAATCTACAAAATTAGATTTCTCATAGTTCCCCCCCTCCCCCAGGAGTAAGACAGGAAAACCGTAACTTCATTTCAAACTGTCAACCTACTTTTCCACAGAAAAAGATCCTGATGTAATGTCTTCTTTCCATATTACTGGACATCCTGGCTGACCACCATACCAAGTCAAAAAGATGAAACACAATGGTCCAGCCATTGAGCTATTTTAATCATCGAATAAAAATGTAACAAGTGTAAAGTTTCCCTCCAAGAAAGGGTCTCCCTTCTCCTTAAAGATGGCCAGCTTACATTAGGAGCGTTTTACAATGCTTATTTCAAAGCAAAAAAAAGAAACACTTTTGCCTCTTTAGCCATAAGCTTGGTTTCTTGAGAAAAAGCATGATTTGGACCCTTAAAACATTCAGTTGCAGGAATGCACTGATTTCTATTTAAAAAAAAAAAAAAAGATCCCCCCACATCAACAAGAAAATCTATCCAGGTTGCTGTTTTGTAGTCACAATGGAACCATTTTCAGCATTAAAGTGCTAACATGAAAAAAAAAACATAGTAAGTGGTTCAAGAAGGAAATATATTCCTGTTATTCTACATCTAATGGGGAAAGTCTTCAAACAATAACTTTTCAGATTTTGATCCATACTAATAAACACTGAACACCTAACTTCCTAAACGTCTTTTCCTGTATTCAAGTATTGTTTTTTTCCTGACCAATCTTCATTCACAAGTTCAAAGATTACAAATATTCTAATATTAAAACACTACCGTATGCTAAAGGTAAAAGCACATGGACGTGTTCCATAATATGAGATGTTCTACAGATGCTTCCAAGCAGCCCATTTAAAAAGAAATATGCTTTTTCTCCTCTCCCTTTTTTAATGAAACAAAACATTTCTATCGACAATAGGTTCAGTAAGATTCTGGTATCACGAACTCAAATTCAGTACTCCCATCTGATGGGTTTTGTTTAAAGAGGGATTCGTTTCCCTGCGGAACAAAGATGTCATCCCAGGTCATTGGCTTCGCTGTTGGGTTTGGTACGGGTTCCTGAGGGGTATCTTTTGTGGGACTGCCAGAATACACAAGGGCATTGTCATTCGCTATTGGGATATTGTTGGAGCTACCCGAAATATATGCATAATTTCTTATCTGCAAAGACCTACACGGATGCAAACGGTACAGCTTGGACTCGCCCGAAGGATCCTGGCTGTGAACCGATCTAATGTGGGTTGCCATCACCTGATAATTGATGAAACACTGACCACACGCCAAGCATTGGTACCGTCGCTCTCCGGTGTGATGGATTTCGTGTTTAGTGCGGTATTCAGCAAGGGGAAAAACCTTCTCACAGTAGCGGCAGGGATACTTTTTCTCCCAGGAATGAACGTTGAAGTGTCTCCGCAAACTTGTCAGGCAAACGTAGGATCTCCGACACACAATGCAGATATAGTAAACTTTTCCATCCATGATGAGCTCATAGTGATCATCATGTTTTACTTTCAAACGCTTTCGGTTGGCAGAATCGTTGCCTGAAGTTCGGGGGACATCATCCAGCCGGACTTCTCCATCAGCCTCATTCTTCACCGGAATTACAATGTCATAGGTATCTTCGCCAATATTTGCATAAACTTTGCAACCGGTTGACAAGCCTTCTATTTCGGTAGCTTTGTCTAAAGTGATGGTCTTCTGCCCTTCTGTGATATGCTTTGGCGCAACACTTGCGGGAGTGTCCTTGAGGCTTCCGGAAAGAACATCTGAGATTTGGATCTTGAACTCGTTGGGCTGGGAGGCTGGTTCTGGTGGGAAGTTCACTACTTGCTTCTTCTGGGCTGCTGTGCTGTCGGCTGCAGCAGTAGGTTTTGGAGTAGTGGGCTGTTGGACCAAAGAACTGCTGCTTGCTGAGCCTGGACTGGATGAACCAAGGATGTCATCATCATCTTCCACATCTTCCTCTTCCTCCTCTTCCTCATCAATGGCATTGGTTTCCATGTCAGTTAAGGAATCATTGGTAGATGGCTGCTGACTCTCCTCGGGTATCGGCAATACCTCTATTTCATGTGATGAACCAACATCTGGTACAGCCTCAACCTGTGATGAATTGAGCACAAGAACATTTGGAGTTGCAGCTTTTGGAGCAGGGGGAGGGAGGGGGTCAACAGGCTTTTGGTTTTCAGCCAGATTTGGCAGAACCGTAGATGAGTCAAGCCTTGGAGTTGCAATTGCCACTGGCTGAGGCGGAGAATTAGAGCTGGTTTGCTCAGAGGATCCAGTGGGATTTGGGCAAGGCGGAATCTGGGTTATGACTTTGGTCTCCACAGAATGGTCCTTCGGAGGCACAAGCTCTGAGCAGAAGATGACGTCGTCATCTTCATCAGAATCACTAATGGTGATCTTGGTGGCATCACACTGCTCCCTATATAAAGAAAAGGATTCGGTAATAATAGGCTTCCCAAGTTTTACGTGTTGAGTCTCAGGTAGTGCTTGAGGTTTCTGACCTTTGGGGCCATTTGCCTCCAGGTTGGGCAGCTCTGAAGTGCTGGGGTTGCCATCAGAAGACATGTTCTTCACCTGTTGCAGAGGAGCACCCAGATCAGCAAGGAATTTGACCCCGAGCAATTGCCCAGATTTAATTAATTCGTCAAGCAAGTCCGATCTCACTCGGACAATTTTTGAGCTATAGATGTAGTTGAGTATTTCCGCAAAAACTTCCCCCCTAATGAAGTTCAGCTCAACTACTTGTCCTGCAACTGAGAAGAGTTGGTGAAAGTAAGTGCTTGAAGCCGAGAGGACATTTCTGTGGGCTCGAAATTTGCGGTCCTCCACAATAACAGTAACATCACAAAAAAGTCCAAGACCTCGCTGCTCATCCAAAGCCTTCAACAGCATACCAGAATACTGGTTGTCTGTGGCGGTTATGAGCTTCCTGGTCTCCATCCCTGGAACAAGAAAGAAGTGGAATCAAATTTCTTCCTACTACGGAAAAGTTCATTTTGAACTACAATAAAAGCTTTGAACCTGGAATGTCAATAAATGTAACTTAATTTTATGCGGAATAATCTTGCTTGGAATTAGCAGACAACTCTCACCATGGGTTTATGTACTACAACTAAGCCATGATGTACTAAATCTTGGTTTACTGAATAAATTACAACTGGCTGGATTCAAATTACATACTAAGATGACACCAACAAGTCACATGATGGTCTAGCTCAATGACCAAAAAGATCTAAGCTAATTAAAACTGTTAAGTTTCTTAACCACAGCTAGAATCCCAAAGATAAATTCTGTGAATACTGAATGACTCTCTTATTTTCGTATTAGCCTGACAGGCAATAGTGATACTAAAATATTAATAAAATAAACCTAGTAAGATTGTAAGAATAGCTATCTACTTTTTCCAACAGTGCATCAGAGTGGTGCAACATTTTTATGCAGCTGGTTCTAGATATTAACTGATCCAAAATTCATATTTGAAAAATATATGAATAATGAATATTGGTATCACTGATTAATTTATAAATGTTCGAGACTACATAAAGTCTTACAAGCAAAATCAATGTTATAACAGTTTAGCATCTCAGTGAAGGGAAAAATACTTTTTTAAAAAAAGCAAATCATCTACATACAGTATTTTAACCTTGTTTTCTTGAACTATTATCCAGGGGGATATAGATGTTTACAAGCTTAAGTATCAAGACAGGAAAAATCCAGCAGGTAAAATTGATACTATGACATTTAGCATCTTAATGCTAAATGCATATTCTTCTGAATTAGAAACATACATTAGATTTAAAAAAATACAATTGTTATTTGCAGCAAAGGGAATACCAAGGAGAAATAAGGTTAACAGGTCACTAAATTGCTACCTCTTTAAGACATAGCGTAAAAGAAGAAGTCACCATTTTCTGTAATTGTAGCTCTACAATGACCAAAGTACAGCTTTTCAGGTCAAGCTAAAAAGCCCCTAAATCATTTCATCTTCCAGGGAAATAAAGCACCAGGCTCAGCAATAATCAGGTATTAGGAACACACAGGTGTGAGGAATGCTGCAAGTGGTAACAAGATAGTAAAAGTGTTAACTGCAAAGATTGTTAACTAAGGCAGCTGGGAAATAAAAGTGCTGAGAAATCAAGATTTCTACAGAAGCAGCTAAAGGATTAAAATGGCTTCAGATATGGTTTCTTTAACCCTGTTTCAACTCAAGGGTACTACTGCATTTGGATCTATTTCCTCACCTATCTCACCTCACACATCAACATGCATATGTTGCAACCCAATCCATGAATCAGAAGTATATTTGTATTATATTTGCATGTCTATAAAGAGGAACTGTAGCCCCTCCCCTCTTTAGGCTTGCCTTCTCCTCCGGTACCGATCAAGAAAACCATTTGTGCTTCAGTAAAGGTGTGTTGATCTCTGCTTTAAACAAACTCAAACATTCCCCTACGTGATGCATGCTGCTCCCATTGTAATTTTACTCACTGTGCAATTAATAAAGAAACTTGGTTGCTTATTGCCATTCTAGCAGAAAAAGGCAAGGTATTTATTTAGCATATTAAAAGTAGGGATTGCTGATGGAGCCCAGAGAGCAAGAGAGAGCTGGTAAAATAAGAAATACAACTTGCAGAACCTGAAGATTAGTAAGATACCTTGACAGCCAATATAGGCATGATGAAACACACCCATGGATGAATACATTCAAAACAGAAGCTGGAAGCAGATCTGTATTTATTTCTCCACTGTATTCCCCAATAACTGCTAATGTGGAGTTGATGCCTACTGTTTCTGCTTCAGATTGATTGGAGACCACATGGTTGGGAAATGTTCCTGATAATCTCAAGAGATTGCTCCTGTGAGGATTCTCACAGGCAGAGAAAATATGATTTTAAGGAAGGGAACCATCATGGCAGAGAAAGAAAAGAGCTTATCATGCTAAGCTTTGGTTTGTTGAATGCATTGCAAATGGCTGGATTCATACATCATGCTAAATGACCCATCATGGTTTACAAACCATAATGCTTGTTTCTCCACAATGCACTAAGCCAAAATCACACAAACCGCACTATGAACAATAAAATGAGAAATATAGGACTTATAGGTCCTGTTGACCAGGAAGAGAACCTGGTTCCAGTGGCTTTAAAACAAGCAGTGGTGTCAGGCTCAGCCCAAGAACAACGATGAAACAGTTCAGTCCAGTATAGTTCCTTTATTTGCTTACACCCTCTAGACAGAATCTCGCCAGACTAACTCTACACCACAGCAACCAGTGGATATACCCCGTGATACTCTAGGGAGGGGCTAGTCTAAACCTCTTCTTCTCACGGTCTTGCTGTGGACTGAGAACCCACTTGCCTTGTCCCCCTTTCTGGAATGCACTCCCTCCCTCCTGATAGCCTTGATCTCCCATACCAGTCTCCTCCTTGCAGATACCTTTCATTACAAGTGGTGAGATCACTTCCAAGAGAAAAGATCTTGGCTCTTAATTGTTATAAACTATATGCTAATATCTGTTTCTTAGACAAGAAGCTCAAGTGGGTAGCTTGGAATCAGCCAAGCTGTGGGACTTTTGCCACAAGAGAGAAAGGGTATGTGTATGCCTACATGCCACTGTGTTACTTTTTCTTGAGTTCTGCACATTAAGTACTTCTGCTTGTCATTCCCTGCCCCTGTGAAAAGCTTTACGAGTCCTAATGCATTGCAAAGGAGACTATGAAGTATGCACTAACTGCCATCCCTGCTTTCATGGCTTCCCCTGGTGCTCTCTGAAGCAGCCCAAAACACAGGCCAGGTCTGATATAACCGTCCTGGCCTGAAAAAGCAGGTTTTATCACCCCAGAAGCAAGCTGCACACCCACATACTGTATTCGTTCCTCACCCCTCACATGGCCAGCTTCAAGAAAGATCGTTTGGTCATGCCTAAACAAGCCTACAAAAAGCAACCAACACTTGTGTAAATCGTGTTGGGAAACACAGCCACATATTTCTTTAAAAAAAAAAAAAAGATATTTCCCCAGTGCTTATTTTCATTACAGGAAAGGTTTCATCCGCCACTCTTAGATCAAAGCACTTGATCAGAGCATGTAAGCAAAGAAGAGCAACTTTAGCTGTCAAGCACAGAGAATGATCACAGAGACATTTTCTCAAACGGGAACAAGTTTCTGCTGGAAGAAGAGAAATGCAGAAAGTCTTCCGAAATCTTGGCTTGCTTCTGACACACCTCTGTATCTTATGGCCACTGATCATGTGATATCAAATTGGTATCTTATGGCCATATTCACACATTTTCCCACTGTGCTCCAAAACTGAAGGCTGGGAGGAGAAAGATCAATGATGCATAGGAACCTACAGGTAGTTTTGGTTTTTATATATTGAAACTGTAGTATCACAAGAGTTCTGTAAGGACACCTTAAGCTAGGTGACACCATGCTCTTCAGTAGTACAGAAAGGGTAGAGAAAGGTGTGGATTTTTTTGCTTTTTAGTGCAGTTCCTGATATACAAATTGGAAACAGGAAAATGAAGATGCAGTTGTGGCATTTTTGAGAAAAATGAATGGGGAAGGAAGGAGGGAAGCAAGACCAGAAGGCTGGGGATTCAACAGAAAGAAGGAAGGAAAAACCACCCCAGTTGGTAAGATAGAGATAGGGTGGAACAGCAGGAAGGAGACAGCATGAAAAGAAGAAACAAAGATCTGGGGAGGGAGTGACCACACGTAGATGAGAAATAAAACAGATTACAATTGGAGGCTCTTAATTCACTGCAGTGACAGTGGAGATGTCCTGTCATAATGAAGTCTTGACTTGATCAGAAGGATGATCAAGGATTGACTTCATCAGGATGACTACAACGGGGAGAGACTGGGTGTAGGTTTTTTACCTGCTAAATGGGAGGGGGGAGTGTCCTTGAAGCACTTCTGACCTTTCCTAATCAGAACAGCATTAAACTGTATTCCAGAGTAATCAGGAACACATTCCTTTAAGGTCAGGCTTAAGGAAGGACAAATCCTAGGAATGCTAACTCTTGAGCCTACATAGGCTGTGTTCACAGATTCCTCTCTGACTCCATCAATCTGCTGCCCCACCTGGCAGCCCACCACCTCTCCAATCCAACTCCCACCACTGGCTGCAGAGGATAGGAATTGTAACCTAAAAGAACTGGAAGAGTTGCAAGTTAAAAGGCTGGTCTACAAGGTCTCACCAGGACCACCATCACCACAAACAGAGCCAGGATCTAATCTGGCCAAGTAAGCACCTCCAGATGTCTTAGGATTACAACTCCCTCAGCCCCGCTGGCTGGGGATGAGGGGAGTTGGGGCTCCCACCTATCTAGAGAGCACCCAACTGGAGGGAAATCAAGAGAGCAAGGGCAATGAGTCACTGTTGGGTAGACAAGGAATCCATTCCCCAGACTTAAGATGTCGACTCTTCTCCTCTCTCCATCCTGAGCTAGTCCTGAAAGAATCTCTGGCCCTACTGGCTGGGGATGATGGCCACTATAGTCCCAATCCACCAAGATGTCAAGCTGATCAGTTGGGGAGGGGGGAACAGGAGAGGCTTTCCAGAACTCCTCCATGAGTGCGCTCACCACTCCCGCAACCCCTCCCTAGCCATGCTGGGAACCATGGGAGTCAGAATCCAGCCAAGTAAGTTTTGGGGACAGAGAGATTTTCAGGAAAGTGCCTCTCCTGTGGCTAGAAAAATGGATATGGAAAAAATGGAAGAAGCTGAGTCCAGGGCGGGTTGATGGGAGAGGATGAGAATAAAGAGATTTTCTGGAGCTTCCCTCCCTGCTTCTATTAATTCTAGGGGCTGTGCAAGATGGGAATGGGAGTCCAGGCGGAGAAGAAGAGAGGAGCTTCTCCCAAGAGGCTAAGCAGCCCTAGCTCGGAAGATGGGTCCTGTGGTCACAATGCACCTGCTGGAGGACCTGCCCTGCCTGGGGCGCGGGGCGCGGGTCGCACAAAGCCTGCCCGCCCCCG